AATGTCAGTGGAGACATCTCAAGCTAGCCCTCTATTCATGCTTGTGTTGCCGCCAGCAGTCCCCCACCACCTTCCTGCTAGAGGATTCCATCTTCAACACCAACATTCTAGTGGAGACTTCCCTCTTCCTCATTCTGGCTCCTCTATTCACAACCTCCTTGGCTTCCCACTTTGCCACCATCTACATGGAGGATGCCATGGAGACTTCGTTCTACACCATGGTTACTTCTTTTGACTAATTACTAATCATCTGGTATTGAAATTATCAGAAAATGCCATTTTCCTTTTGGGGATCTTGGAGTTGATTAAAAAAATTATGGAAGAGCGTGAAGGAAATGAAAGTTTTCAAATCTTGCTTAATCTTCTTCCATTCGGTCTGTTTTGAAAATTCATTGACCCACTCACCATCTACAAATCCTTGGAGGTGGACCCCGGTGTCGCCGTCGACAATTGAAGACAACTATGTGATTTTAATTTTCGGGGATGGTTTGGGGGTGGGGTTTTGATTTAAGTTTTTAAATTGTTTAATGTGGTAAATAGAAAGTTACTATTGTTCCCTTTTAAAATTGATTAAAATGTGATCAAACTTAATTTTGATGGTCAACTAACGGTATTTTGGATGAAAATCGTCCCAAAGGACCTCACATGCAATTGTTGGAAATGTGACGGTATTTTGTGTGACAGTTGCAACAAATAAAATGTTTGAAAAAAATCTGTTAGTGTTTTAAAGGTTTGGGACTTTTGCTGCAATTATCCCTAATGGAATTGACAAAGATTATTTTCATAATAGTCATTAATATAAATAGTTTCCTTTTATAGTCACATGTAAGCTTATAAATATTTTTACCTTTATAATTAATATATACACCAAAAATTATACAAATTTTACTGTTCTCTTTCATTTTTTGTCAAATCATATTAAAATAATAAACTAACAACTTCTAGAGTTGTGTTGCTTGTACAACCAGGGACGTCAGGGCGACATGTGGCGTCCCTGGTTGTACAACCAGCTTTGTTCCAACTTCTATATATTAAAATTAGGGTTAATTTCACAAATGGTCATTGAAGTTACCTGAAAATCTCAAAACGGTCACTGAAGTTTCAAA